TCTATCCACTGAGCCAAACCGGTTAGGGCTTAATTAGGTGTCTTACCAGGTGCATCGAACAATCACTAATAGCCATTACTAGAATAATGGTAGCCCATTGCCTAGAGATGTCACAATAAATAAATCTGAGACCACCTCTACCAAAGAATTTTAAATGTGAGAAATATGATTTAGCCTTGTTTCCAAGCCCCCTTGTTGCTCAAATGTGGCCATACGCTCTTGTACACTCAGGAGACCACTTACCTTCTACGTGGGATTTGACATACTTGAAATGAGCCCTCCTGGAGATGAGGGATCAATGTTGCTTTTCAATGACAGACCAAATATACTTCCTAATGGCTGGCCCATGCTTTCTAAGTAAAGATCTGGATAGAAAGGGGAAAACGTAATGCCCAACCTGCGTGGCTCAGTGGCTGAGCGTCCTATGAACCAGGAAATCACGGTTCAATTCCCAGTCAGGGCACATGCCCGGGTTGGGGGCTCAATCCCTAATATGGGGCATGAAGGAGGCAGCGTCAATGGCTCTCTCATCATTGATGTTTCTACCTTTCTCTCTGAAATATATATATATATTTTAAAAGGGGGAAATGTGAAAAACAGAAAAATGGAGTTGGTATTGTCAAGGGAGCAATCTAAAATGGAGCCGAAGCCTCTGAGAAGCTGACCTAAAATATCCCCATCCTTAAGTAATCAAGGTACTCTCCAATGAAAACCTTTTCCTAAAGAGCTGAGGCCACGAAGTTACATTAACTGGTGGAAATTTAAAAAAATTTTAACAGTGGATCTGAGCCCGTTGTTATGCACAGGCAGAATTAATCACAAGCCTTATTTCCTGATGTAAAAGGCAACTGATTAAGATTTTGAACAAATCTGGTTGAACAAAAGTCATGAAATTAAAATTTTTCTTATCCTGAGCTGTCATCTTATACAAGGGAGTACCCATATGACTGTCAGCTGATTTCTCAACAGAAACTTTGCAGGCCAGAAGGGAGTGGCAAGAAATATTCAAAGTGATTAATAGCAAGAACCTACAACCAAGATTACTTTATCCTGCAAAGCTATCATTCAGAATTGAAGGTCAGATAAAGAGCTTCACAGATAAGGAAAAGCTAAAGGGGTTCATCACCATTAAACCAGTATTATATGAAATGCTGAAAGGTATCCTTTAAGAAGAAAAAGGTAAAGATACAAATTATGAACAACAAAAACACATCTATCAACAAGTGAATCTAAAATTCAAGTGAATAAATAATCTGATGAACAGAATAAACTGGTGATTATAATAGAATCAGGGGCATAGAAAGGGAGTGGACTGACTGTTCTTGGGGGGAAAAGGGGTATGGGGGATGTGGGAAGAGACTGGACAAAAATTGTGCACCTATGGATGAGGACAGTGGGGGGGTGGGGTGAGGGTGAGGTGGGAACCGGGTGGAGGGGAGCTATGGGGGGAAAAAAGAGGAACAACTGTAATAATCTGAACAATAAAGATTTAATTAAAAAAAAAGTGAAGCAATAGATCCTATCACAGATAAAGGTCAGCACATACATGTATCTAGGTAAATGTAATAAAACATTTTCTGCCGAAACCGGTTTGGCTCAGTGGATAGAGCGTCGGCCTGTGGACTGAAAGGTCCCAGGTTTGATTCCGGTCAAGGGCATGTACCTGGGTTGCGGGCACATCCCCAGTAGATGTGCAGGAGGCAGCTGATCGATGTTTCTCTCTCTCTCATCGATGTTTCTAACTCTCTATCTCTCTCCCTCCCTCTCTGTAAAAAATCAATAAAAAAACAAAAAATCATTTTCTACTACAAATTACTGAAAACATCTAGTACTATAAAGAGGGGAAAATCTGATTCTGATCCACTTAGGTCCTATGGAAGAAGTAATAAACACAAGATTTATAGAACTTGATTAAGACTAAGTTCTATGCCAAAGCAACTTAGACTTTTCCAATTAAAAACTTGGCTCAGTGGATGGAGCGTCGGCCTACGGACTGAAGGGTCCCAGGTTCGATTCCAGTCAGGGGCATGTGCCTTGGTTGCGGGCACATGCCCGGTGGGGGGTGTGCAGGAGGCAGCTGATTGTTTCTGACTCTCTATCCCTCTCCCTTCCTCTGTAAAAAAATCAATAAATTTAAAAAACAAAAACAAAAACAACAACTTGGATTGGGGGTACCAACCAGGGAATGTGGAGGAAGGAAATGGAATATTCCACAGGACATTACAAAAAAGTCTTTTGTTTTCAGCTAGATACATGAATTAAAGATTTTTCATATGTACCTAATTCAGGGTAAGTTAATTAGAATATGAATGAAAAATGAGTTTTGGGTTGACCTGGCATTGCATATATTGGTATGAAAACAGCACAATTTCCTTTTATATCAACTAGAGGCCTGGTGCATGAAATTTATGCACAGGTAAGGTCCCTAGGCCTGGTTGGCGATCAGGGCCGATCTGTGGGGTGACTGGCGGGGGCTCCAGTGGCACCCACCTAGGCCAGCCCCGCCCCCCCATGCCAGTTGCCTCCCTCTGCAGGGCAACCAGCAGGGTGATCGGCTCCCCCCCCCACCCCCGGCACCCACCTTGGCTGGCCTGGGGCCTGTGGGCAGCTCCTGCGTTGAACGTGGTCAGTGTGTGTCACAGCCACCAGTCGTTCTGCCAGTCAGTCCACCGTTCAATTTGCATATTAGGCTTTTATTATATAGGATTATTGATACCCAGAGCTAAAACTGGATTTTCTTTATATGGCAGGCAACAGAAAACTATAAGAATCCTAAATTAATCTAGTTAATATATTTAGTACTGATGTGTAATAGCTAATGCCTAATCAAAAGCAGCAAAGTTAAATTTATAGTATTTAAGAGATGCAGCAAGAAAACCATTTTCTCTCATTTATTCTGATTTAATGATCTGTAATGTTGCAATCTTGTTTGCTTATAAAAAGAAGTGGTGTTGGTCTAACTGGTTTGGCTCAGTGGATAGAGCCTTGACCTGCAGACTGAAGGGTCCCAGGTTCGATTCCAGTCAAGGGCATGTACCTTGGTTGTGGGCACATCCCCAGTAGGGGGTGTGCAGGAGGCAGCCAATCAATGATTCTATCTCATCATTAATGTTCCTCCTCCTTCCTCTCTGAAATCAATAATATATATTTTTAAAAAGTGGTAAACATCACCCTAGAGACGTGCAGCTTCCTGATTTTCTAGATGTGAAATTAAGGCCTAGTGACTTATTCAAGATCACATGGCTAATTTGCACAAGATTTCAGACTTTCTCTCTGTTGGTGCTCTAATATACCAAAATACTTCAGGGCAAAACAATGTTTAAACCAACAAACCATTAAGTACAATATTCAAGAGTTTAGCCCAACAGGAATATAAAACTTGAGCACAAACATGACTGACTTAAAATTAAACCAGATTTATATATTGCAAATAAAATACCACATATATAAAATCAATGGTATGTATTAATTTCCAGATCATGCTTTATCAAACTTAGGCATAACCAATCAAAACCTCAATTTGGCACCACTAAGTCTATATGAAATTTCCTCTACATAAGAATTACTAGGGATTAATTTAATCACTCTTCAATCTTTAACAGCAATTTCATATTATTTTTCAGAATATTTATACTGTTTTGAAAGAATAATTGATAAACTTAGCAAAATGACTCACTAAGATGACAGGTCCATGAATAGCAAGATGTCTCTAAATATTTCTCTCTTGTAACAAGCTGAATTTGCTGCTTATAATAAATTGTATTTCTCAATATCAACAAGATTCTTCAAAAGGAAACTGTTATCTGTCATTACATAAAAGACAAGCAATCTAGAAAGCATAAAATAATCTAGATAGTACAAAAATTAAGTGTTAACTGAATACAACAGAGGATTTTGTGGGAATATTTGTGCAGAAAAAAGATATAGAGGAAACTTGCACATAATTTAAACATAATTAAAAAAGTAAACTAATTACCAAGTGTCAGGAAGCTGGTAAAGTTTCCATGCTATATAAAATTAACTTCTTAAATTTAACCAAATAAAAATCCCTGCTGTTCAATAAGATGTCCTGAAGCAAATAGTTTCATGAATTCTCAAGAGAAAATTAAGGCTAAAAAGATCAAATACCAAGTGTTCATCAAACCTTTCAGTCAACAGAGCCTTTATTAACATGCAAGTACCATTTGCCACAAGATATACACGTTCTCCTAATCTTTCAGTTCTTTTTCAATATTTTGACTTAAGGTTACTTGTGGATCTAACATAAAAAGTAACCTACAAAAATCGGTCAAGGTAAAACTTGATTCTAGCTATCACCTTAACCTTTTATTATTTAGGCTTATAATTGACATTATTTGTCTCAAGTAGCAGAATATAATTCTTGTACTTGATAATCTTCTATACTGAAATATGTACCAGAATATCTTAGGAAGTTACTAAATATATGGAATTAACATATATATTTAACTGCTTTCAATAAGCTGGAAAGTACAATGTTAAGTTTTCTAAGAGGAAAATCATTTCTAGATCTAGGTTATGATTTTTGCAGTTTCCATAAAAACTGATCCATATTAAACCAGTCTTGAAGAACTAAGATGAAAACTTAAAAACCCTAATGATAGCCTTGATTTACTAAGATAGAATAAACCAAACTACAGTTCTCTTTTCCCAGGCCTCAGCAGAGATACTCTGTCATAGCTTTTGAAATTTTTTTGTCTGCTTGGTATAAAAGTTGAATGATCTCTTTCTAAGTTAGGTATCAGTAGAAGACCCACAGATGATGGGCATATTTATTGGGACACAAGGTAATTCATATATTGTATCAAAGTGCATTATAAGATTTACACTATGTCTGTCCACGTTTGTCACATTTTATAACATTTCAGTTGGATGCAGGAAGACTGAAATTGTTCAGAAAAGTCTAGCTTTTAAGATGTGAGTAAAGTTCATAGTGAGTTTTTTAAAACATTTAAATAACCAGAAGTATAATCACAACAAGGGACTATGTAAGAAGAATGAATATTGCAAAGGAAGCTTTATAGTCAATGAAAATACAGTACTTTGGATTGGCCAAAATGCACAGTACACATGAAATCAAGGTCATGTACTTTACTTATTGACCATGTGGCTACAGTTCAAAAGGTCACTGTTCCAACAGCCATACCAAGTAATCTGCCAAGCTGCTTTTAAATAAAGTTTTTAAATTGTAGCAATGAACAAAAAGACAAGATACACTTAAACAATACTGCAGTTTATCAAAAGACACATAAGAAATTTCAACTCACGTCTTTGACAATTATAAAAAAAATCAACATTTGGCTAAGTTATAAACATGTTTATAATGCAATTATTTGCATAATTCTAATGGTAATGATGGCTATAAGATCAGAATAGGTGAAAAACAAAACACTAAAAACATAAAAATACATAGCCCAATATTTACCTGTAGAGTATGTTCATTTATGACTAAATTTCAGCATTTACTATATTGCCACCGCTCTAATTTTAAAAATCACATCCAAAGGGTAAGGCAAAACTACTTAGCAACTGACATATTTGTTTATTTCTCAATTTGTGAAAATGTCCTTAATCTGTTGATGTAGCAAACAAATTTCAACTGTGCTATGCAAAAGAAGAGACGATAGTCTGCTTTGCAATGAACTTTAAAGTTCAATCGCACACAGGCAACATGCTATATATGAAAAAATTACTAACTGAACTACAGGTATTAAATACTGAAAAAAGTTAACAGTTTATTATAATTTATTTTATTTAACAATCTAGGAAGTTCGCAGCCATCAGCAGTTCCAGTGCAATTTCAGGTGCAATTGGGAATTCAGGAATTTCCGTGGAGCTGTTAGTGTAGCGAACCTTGTAAGTAAAATACATGCACACTTTTGATAGCACGTGTGAAGGGATCTCTCTAAAATTGACTTCATTAGTTTCATTCTCAGCAAATTGACCTATAAAAGAAAAAAAAAGGTAGGTTATGCACTGAAGGGTGTTCCTCCAAAATTCTCATGTGGAAGTCCTTACACCCAGAACTTCAGAATGTGACTGTATTTGGAGACGGGTGTTTTTTCCGCCCCCCTCCTGTTCAGGAAGTGTTTTAAATATGGAATGCTTCACAAATTTGCATGTCATCCTTGCACAGGGACCATGCTATCGTTCCAGTTTTAGTATACGTACTGCCAAAGTGAGCATGGAGACAGGGTCTTTAAAGAGGTAATTAAAGCAAAATAGGATTTATTAGGATGGGCTCTAATCATGTGACTGCTAGCTTTATAAGAGGGGATTAGGGTCCAGGTGGAGTGGCTCAGTGGTTGAGCTCGACCTATGAACCAGATCACTGTTCAATTCCCGGTCAGGACACATGCCCGACTGCAGGCTCCATCCCCAGTGTGGGGTGTGCAGGAGGCAGCCGATCAATGATTCTCTCTCATCACTGATGTTTCTATCTCTTTCTCCCTCTCCCCTCCTCTCTAAAATCAATGAAAGTATATTAAAAAAAAAAGGGGGGGGGGATTAGGTCACAGACACAAACAGGGGGAAGACAATGTGAAGACACAGGGAGAAGGCCATCTCAGAAGAAACCAACGCTGCTGACACCATGATCTTGAATGTCTACCCTCTAGGACCATGCAAAATAAATTTCTGTTGTCTACATCACCCAGCCTATGGTACTTAAAAATTATTTATTTATCGCCGAGACCGGTTTGGCTCAGTGGATAGAGTGTCGGCCTGCGGACTGAAGGGTCCCAGGTTCGATTCCGGTCAAGGGCATGTACCTGGGTTGCGGGCATATCCCCAGTGGGAGATGTGCAGGAGGCAGCTGATCGATGTTTCTCTCTCATTGATGTTTCTAACTCTCTATCTCTCTCCCTTCCTCTCTGTAAAAAATCAATAAGATATATTAAAAAAAATTATTTATTTATTGATTGATTTTAGAGAGAGAGAAAGGGATAGGGAGAGAGAGAAACATCACTGTGAGAACACAACATGGATCGGCTGCCTCCTGCATGGTCCTCTACCAAGGATGAAGCCTGAAACCTCAGCATGTGCCCTGACTGAGAATCAAACTGGCAATCTCTCAGTGCACGTGGATGACTGAGCCACACTGGCCAGGGCGGGTCTATGGCAGCCCTAGCAAATTATTACGACATGAAATAAATCCAACTAGCATCAAGCAAAATATCTAACTCTGACTTTTGAGTATAAACATAAAAAGATCTTTATTAAGATAGCATTTGAGATTCATTAGGACTGAATTTTAAAATTTTGATTCTCTCCTGAAAGTCTGGACTTTGGAGCTTCTCCAAAGAATCTTGATGTTGGGCCGAAACCGGTTTGGCTCAGTGGATAGAGCGTCGGCCTGCGGACTGAAAGGTCCCAGGTTCGATTCCGGTCAAGGGCATGTACCTGGGTTGCGGGCACATCCCCAGTAGGGGGTGTGCAGGAGGCAGCTAATCGATGCTTCTCTCTCATCGATGTTTCTAACTCTCTATCTCTCTCCCTTCCTCTCTGTAAAAAATCAATAAAATATATTAAAAAAAAAAAAAAAAAAAAAGAATCTTGATGTTGGGATTACTGAAGGGTAAGTAGGAATCAAGTCTTCATGGACCATAAGGAGCCCTGTGCTATACTGAATTGCCATGTAAAAATAAATAATAGGTGAAATACTATTCTAAAAACCTTTTCAGGAAAGAAAATGTACTGTTTCCCCCTTTAGTTTTTAAAAATATAATCATGCCAATAAGATCTTATTTAATAACTCTTAACAATTTGTAGTGATCTCTCAAAATTTCTTGAGTCATATAAAGAAATTAATCATTTAGTTTTTATTATAGGGATAAAATATATTCTTAGCCCAGGCCAGTGTGACTCAGTTGACTGAGTGTTGCCTGTGCACTAAAAGGTCATCGGTTTGATTCCCAGGCAGGGCACATACCTAGGTTTTGGGTTCGATCCTGTTGGGGTGCATATGGGAGGCAACAGGTCCATGTTTCTCTCTCACTTTGACAATTCCCTCTCCCTTCTTCTCTAAAATCAATAAATACATATTTAAAAAAATAGCAACCACCAAAAATATTTTCTTAGCATTCATGCACTAGCACTATGACCTAAATTCAAAAGGCAGAAAAAATATACTTTCTGAGAATGTAGTATTTTAAAGGTTTTCTAATTGTATGTTGGCTGGGGGGTGGGAGGAAAGAAGAGCAGGATTCAGCAAAATAATTCACAGCTATAGGTAACTTGGTTTGCCAATAATAAAAATTTTCTTTCTTGAATATATGTATGAAACATTACCAATAGGCATTTATTTGAGACTAGACAAACATTTATGGTTTTTCTTTGAGGTGAAATTCGTATCACAAATTTAACCATTTTAAAAAGAGTACAATTCAGTTTACATTCACAATGCTGTGTAACCACCCTATCTTGTTTCAAAACATTTTTATCAAACCCAAATATAATCCTGTAACCATTAAGCAATTACTCCCTGTTTCCCTACCCCCAACCTCTGTTTTCTATCACACCAATCTACTTTCTATCTCTATGGATTTATCTACTCTGGATATTTCATACAAATGGAATCACACAACATGTGACCTTTTTGACTGGCTTCTTTCACTTAGCTTAATGTTTAGAAGGTGCATCCATGTTATGGCCTATATCAGCATTTCATTCTTCTTTATGAAGCATTAGTTTTGGGCTGAAAGTTTGATCTTCAAGATAAAGCTCTTCTTATTGAAGTAAAGGAGATCAAGCATACAACAAGAAAAAGTCCTCTAATTTTAATTTTTAAAATTTTCTTGGCATCTGCGATTTCCTCCCCTAAAGTACATCCCAGCTCTGTCCCATAGAAGTCGAAAGCAATTCAAGCCAGGAGCAATGTTCCTGCTAGCACATGGACTGGGGTCCCTAAGTACCATTTCCCATTAAAAGAAATAGGGGCTCTTGGAAAAATGGTCATTCTCAGGATTAATGGAATAACATGCAAAATGAGCCTGAGAAATCTTGGTATTACAGAAAGTAGTAACTATCCAAGATCAATGGAACCATGTCAAAAGGACGCAGAAAACAACATGACGTGGGTCCTTCTGTCATAAAAATGGAGTGCTTGAGCACCAATGAGAATGACTGGGCCAGGTGAAAAAGCACTATATATATAAAGTCAGGAGCTGATAATGATGTGCAAAAAAACAAACAAAAAAACCCCAAACACTCTTTGCTATTGGAGGATGCTGGAGAAGCAATTCATTACACTGCAAAATTATATGTAAAGGGGGAAAAAAGCCGAAACTGGTTTGGCTCAGTGGATAGAGCATCGGCCTGAGGACTGAAAGGTCCCAGGTTCGATTCCGGTCAAGGGCATGTACCTGGGTTGCGGGCACATCCCCAGTAGGAGATGTGCAGGAGGCAGCTGATCGATGTTTCTCTCTCATCGATGTTTCTAACTCTCTATCTCTCTCCCTTCCTCTCTGTAAAATATCAATAAAATATATTAAAAAAAATAATAATAATAAAGGGGGAAAAAAATTAAGCATTTAACTTTTCTTTCCTGTACAGACTATTTCAGGATCACCAAACAGTTCATTAAAAGAGATTTCTAACTAATAAATGCAGAAGAAACTACACAATTGGAAAATCACTGTTTTGTAATTCCAAATGAAGTATATATCTCAGCAATAATCACAATGAATGCTAAAACCATTACATGCAAGTCTGACTGGGGAATTGTTCCTGGATGAAATCAGCCTGATAACCCTGGAACCACTACTCAATCTTGACATTGCTAAAAGATGTGTTACAACAGGATATAATAGTACCACCTATGAAGTGTTCTTGCCCAGTAAAATGAACCAGATTCTAAGCAAGCTTCTGGAGTTCTAATTATGAGTTTACAAGCTGAAACAGTAAGTCTAATCAGGATGTGGACATTATATAAATAACACTGTTTCTTTGTAAAACTGATGGCCTGGAACAAAGGGAGGGTTCAGGGGGACTATAAAGATTTTATGAGGGAAATGACAATGTCAGGGATTTGCTCGAAATACTCTTTAAAAAGTGAGAATAAGAGACGAAACAAGATTGGCAAAATGTTGGTAAATTTTTGGAGGTGTACTCGTCTCTCTACTTCCATGTAGTTTCCATAGAAAAAAAAATATAGAAAGGGAATAGTAAGGGACCCCAAATAGCCAAAACAATCTTCAGCCTCACATTTCTCTATTTCAAAACTTACTACAATGCTACAGTAAATCAAAACAGTTTGGCCCTGAGCATAGTTAGAGCATTGGCCCCTGCACTGAAGGGTCAAGGGCACATACCTGAGTTGTAGGTTTGCTCCCTGCCCTCAGTTGGGCGCATGTGGGAGGCAACCAATCAATGTGTCTCTCTCACATTGATGTTTTCCTTTCTCCCCGCTCCCTCCCTTCCACTCTCTCTGAAAAACAATGGAAAACATATCCTCAGATAAAGATTAACAACAACCCCCCCAAACCCCCCATGAGACAGTTTGGTACTGAGGTAAGGGCAGATATATAGCACAATGGAAAAGAATTAAGAGCCCAGAAATAAACCCACATATCTGTGATCAACTGATTCTCAACAAGGGTGCCAAGACCATTCAATGGGGTAAAGAATAGTCTCTCTTGCCCTAGCTGGTTTGGCTCAGTGGATAGAGGCAGCCGATCAATTATTCTCTCTCATCATTGATGTTTTTTTCTCTCTCTCCCTCTTCCTTCCTCTCTAAAATCAATAAAAAACATATTTAAAAAAGAATAGTCTCTTCAACAAATGGTATGGGTATGTCCACATGTGAAAGATAAATTATTACCTCATGTCATGCACAAAAGTTAACTTAAAATAAAAAACCTAATTACAAGAGCTAAAACCATAGCCCTCTTATAAGAAAACATAGGGGCGCCGAAACCGGTTTGGCTCAGTGGATAGAGCGTCGGCCTGCGGACTGAAAGGTCCCAGGTTCGATTCCGGTCAAGGGCATGTGCCTGGGTTGCGGGCACATCCCCAGTAGGAGATGTGCAGGAGGCAGCTGATCAATGTTTCTCTCTCATCGATGTTTCTAACTCTCTATCTCTCTCCCTTCCTCTCTGTAAAATATCAATAAAATATATTTAAAAAAAAAAAAAAAAAAAGAAAACATAGGGGTAAATCTTCATGACATTGGATTTGACAATGGATTTTTAGACAGGCCTCCAAAAACAGCAATGGGATAAGAGATAAATTTGGCTTCATCAACATAAAAACTTTTGTTCATCAAAAGATACTACTAAGGACTGGCTGGCGTGGCTCAGTGGTTGAGCATCGATCTATGAACCAGGAGTCACGGTTCCAATCCCAGGCAGGGCACATGCCTGGGTTGCGGGCTAGATCCCCAGTGTGGGGCGTGCAGGAGGCAGTAGCTGATCAATGATTCTCTATCATCATTGATGATTCTGTATCTCTCTCCCTCTCTGAAATCAACAAAAATATATTTAAAGCCCTAGCTGGTTTGGCTCAGTAGATAGAGCATCAGCCTGTGGACTGGAGGGTCCTGGGTTCGATTCCGGTCAGGGGCACATGCCCGAAATGCAGGCTTGTTCCCTGGTGGTGGTGGTGGCGGCCTGCATGCAGGAGTCAGCCAATCAATGATTCTCATCATTATGTTTCTACCTCTCTCTCCCTTCCTCTCTCAAATCAATAAAAAATATATATTAAGAAAAAGCATTTCTTAAAAAACATGTATTTTTTTTTTCTAAAGAAAAGAATAAAAGATACTACTAAGAAAAAGACAACCTACAGAATGGGAGAAAATATTAAATCATGTATCTGATAAGAATCTAGCGTCCAAAATTTATAAAGCACTCTTACAACTCAACAATAGAAAAGACAAACAACCCAATTAAAAAGTTGGCAACGGACTTGAAGAGACATTTCTCCAGAGGATACACAAATAGCCAGCAAGCACATGAAGAGATAGTCAACATCATTAGTCACTAGGGAAATGCTAATCAAAACCACAATGACACACTACTGGTACCCATTTGGATGGCTAGAATAAAAAAAAGTGCAAATGAAGTGTCAGTGAGGATGTGGAGAAAACCACATAAGGAACCCTCATACACTGCTGGTAGGAATATAAAACGGTTCAGCCACTGTGCAAAGTTTGGCATTTCCTCCAAAAGTTAAACATAGAAGCCACCATATGTTCCAGAAATTCCAATCCTCAAGAAAAATTACTCAGAGAAAATGTTAAGGATAGATATTTGGGAGGTGGTAACTTCTATAGATAAACTTTAGAAGCAGGAGCACAAATGAAACCAGGAGCACAAATCACCAGAGGCCTGTGTAGAAGAAGCTGACCATGGAAACTAACCTAGGAAAATGATCCTTCCTATTTCAAAGTAACCAACTGGTTCTTATTGAAACTAGGGTAAATACCTAAAAACAGGGTATGGCAGAAACCAACTTCCCCCCCAATGCAACATTCAATTATGTGATGTTCAAATAGTTACTGTCTCTTAAATGTTATGAGTCATTTCAATTTAAAACATTCATCAAACATTAAAAGTGAAGATATATGAAGAGAAAATAAAGGAAATGTTCCTACCTGGGCCACTCAACATGGCTTTTATTGTTCCTGATGTTAATGCATGTTCTCTTTTTACAATAAATTCATGACCATCTGAAGATATCAATTTGACATACATGGCATCAGGGCCTTCACAGCCACCATAGGTTTTCTCTTCTCCATCTAAATAAAGTAGTAAAATGACCTTTGAATCACAAAATTTATGAACAATAAACAGGTTTACCAAGGTTAATATTTGAGAAACTCCGACCAGAAAGATTTCTCGTGGGCAATAGCTACCAAGATTTCAAAGATTTTAAGCTTCTTGTTTATTACTCTCTACACATTTTCCAATGTCACAATAACTCTACATTCAAGGATGTTACTTTGGGTGAAAATTTACCACTATTTTTCAAGGAAGTATTAATAATATTTTTGTGACCACAGCAGCAAATTCAAATTTGAAGACTAAAACAAAATATTCATAGAGTACAATTTTAGCCCTGGCTGGTGTGGCTCAGTTGGTTGTGTGTCGTCCATGCACTAGAGACTCCATCCCCAGTAGGGGGCATGTAGGAGGCAGCCGATAGATGTGCTCTCACATTGATGTTTCTCTTTCCTCCACCTCTCTTCCTCTATTTCTAAAAAAATCAATTTAAAAAAAGGTAAAACTTTAATCCTATCACCTGAAATACTTAAAAATAAAATGCATGTGATAATGAATGAATGAATGTTTATATGTCATGTGAGCTCAACTTCTGGCAAGCCCAAATGCTAAATGTTAGGGCTTCTTTTACTTAGGATTTTATTCTTGATCTACAAAAATAACTATCAAAATATTTTATTGCTCAGTTTAAATTATTACACAATGAAAGTAATGAATATAGACAAATTCAGTCTTTAAACACTGAAAGTAGAGGTGAGGAGACAGGAGTGTATAGATGTCACTTGCTACCATCTAATCTCACTGATGCCATACTGGCTTCAGCACAGTGGCTAGCTCAATATAACTTTCTGGGAAGTATATATATTTATATATTCCTTTAAGATCTTTCTCACATATATAACTCTCACAATATTATACTGACAGAATTTTAATTTTTATGGTTACCAATATCTGAAAGTTTCTTACGGCTTTTTCTAAAAATTTAGGGAGCCCTAGAAAGAAGTACATAGGATGAGGCTGAAGTAATGTTCAGGTACTAACACACATTTATTCATTTATTTCTTTTCTTCTTTTTTCCCCTCAGGTGAGGATATTTTTTCTTAGAGAGTAGAAGGAAGGAGGGGAGGGGGTGAGAAAAAGAGAAAGAGGAAAAGAGAGAGAGAGAGAGAGAGGGCTCCCGGGCTGCCAGAGGGATGTCTGACTGCCAGCTTGGGCCCGATCCCCCAGGGAGCGGGCCTAAGCCAGCAGGTGGACATCCTCCGAGGGGTCCCAGACTGCAAGAGAGAGAGAGAAAGAGAGAGAGAGAAGCATCGACGTGAGACACATTGATTGGTTGCCTCCTGAACACACCCGGTCCCGGCTGGAGATTGAACCTGCAACCTTTTGATGAGAGGGCCAATGCTGTAACCACTGAACACACCAGCCAGGGCTACTCATTTATTTCTTAATAGTTAATTTAGACATCCCTAAAATTAACATTAATATCAAAATCACTTATGTGCTACTGCTGCCCAAAATGTTTACTCTGAATGTAATAGGAGAAAACACTGAGACAAATCTAAATAAGAGTGCCATGGAAGACTTCACTCCTCACCCCAGGACAGCCAGGTAGGGAACTGTTTAAAGGACACGAAGGGGGAGGGGCTAAAGGGAGTGAAATAGGAGACATCTGTAATACATCTGTATTAAAAAATTAAAAAGGAGTCTAAAGAGACAATTAATGCAATAAATGATTCCTGATTAGATCCTGGATTTAAAATAATAAACCTGTTAAAAAGAACACCATTGAAACAACTGAAAAACTTTGAATATGAAGCGAACACATGCTGATGTATTTAGGTGTGTACAACTAAATCTTAAATGATAGGTAAGAAAGCATTTTTTATGTTTATGTGTGCATATACTCATGTATATATGTATATATAAACACACACAGAGTGAAAGCGAATGTGGAAAAACAGTAACAACTGGTAAAGGCTAGGTGGTGCATTATTCTTACAATTTTTCATAACAAAAGGCTGGGGGACTTGTAAAGATGCAAGTAACTTCTAAGTTAGAAACTATCCAAGCATACAGATTCTCAGCAGTTTTTGCCAATTTCTGAGAACAAAAATACAAATAATTATCAGTTATTTAAATTTATACTTCGAGTATTTTTTTGTAAGCTAAACCATTTTATATGTCTGTTGGGAAAGTTTCTAATATCACAAGGTAAAGTACTCACTAGGAATCACAAATTTTACTGGGTACAATAATGGTACCGATCTGTCTTTCAAGATTGTACAGTAAACATAGGTTGTTGAATTAAACAACTACTTGTGGTCTACTTTGACCACTTTCTAACTTGCATTTGCATTCACTGACATTGAAGGCCTATCTTTGAGTGGGAAAACCAGCTACTACTAGTTGAAATACCCGTTATTTTCTTATGAAACTTACCCATTATGTTCTTATGAAATTCTACTTCGCTTGCACAGGAAGTTTAGTAGTTTCCTGAAAATATAACAAAGCCATATTAAGACATGTTTTTCACCATTATTTAATATGTCCTTGGTGTTACAAGTTTAAGGACTCTCTCTCTCTCTCTCTTGCTGCTAAACAGGAATTTTCTAGCCACCACACTGTGGAACAGCATCAAGTTTCTGAACATATGAGAAAAGATGATCACCTCCGGGACAATTAAGTAGAAATACGGACTTTTTTTTTTTTTCCCTTTAAGGCAACTATTCTGAAAGATTTAAAAGTACTGATGCTGTTCGTTAGGACCTAAACTGAACTTGAAAGAGATCCTTGGCCTTCATCATCTTCATATATATACTACATCTACTTGATTCTGGTAGATATAAAAATATTTGCTGAATGAATGACAACATGATAAATCCAAGGACATGAAGTAGCTTTCATGATAATGAAAAAGGTAAAGCTTGCTCACTTCTTATGTAAATGTTCACATTTATATGTGTTATCCCTTCTGCATATAGGCTACCAATAATCTAACAGAAGAGTGGTAAAAATTTATAATTTTTTGAGAAACCTTAAATTTTATAAAATATGGTGGTTGCTAAATAAAAAGTGCTCATGTTTTCAGTAATTTGTACTTTAACAGCATTGCTTCAAAGAAGGATTTTATTAATACCAGCATTATTTTTTATGTGACTATTAGGAAAACAGCATATCCTCATTATCCTTTTCTCTAAGAAATTTCCTGGCTAATACTTTAATTCTAGCCTTATGGGGAGGGTCAAGAAAATAAGCCACACATTTTAGATTAAGAAAGAAACTTGGAGATAACATGTCATCCTCACCTTAAAAAACAGTAACATCCCTGCTGTATAGAGAGGATAAATGACTTGTTCCAGGTAATGATGGAGTAAAGCAGAAATCACCCGTTAGAACACTGGCTAAGCACAGAGGGAGATATTTAAAGTACCATTTCTAATGGAGGCAATGTAGCATTACTACCAAGAATTTGAGGGCCTGGTAAGTGGCAAACATTGCATTAAACATCATATATACATTGTCTTATTTTAAACCAACATTTTCACAAAAGAATTATTGTTCCCATTTTAAAGATGAGGAAACACTCAGAGGCTGCTACCTGCTCAAGGATTCTACAGCTTAAGTGGCAGCCTCAGGATTTAAACCTAGGTAGGCAGGCTCAATAGCCCACACTCCCTTCCACTATTCCATACTGCCATGGTAAAGCATGCTGGCTCTGGTTAAAACTTAGCCACTACTGCTGAGAGCTGTGCTGCATTCTCTAAAATTAAAATACAGTACTATGTCATTTTATGATAATAAAGTAGACACTTAAAAATTCATCAGTCATTATTTTCTTCTGTTCATACTGCTTTGTAATCATTCTCCTGAAAAACAAACAAAAAATACAAAAAAAGGACAAAATGCTAGAAAAACTAGACCAAGAATTTCAAGTGCCAACTTTGCTATCTGGAAAATTTTCAGAGCAAAATATCTAGAATGTTTACTTAACTAGCAGTAGCTAGGCAACCATGCAAAGTGACATCATAGAAGCCCTTTGGGTAGCAACAGTTTCTCCAGACTTCTTAATATAGTAAATGCCCTTGACTAGAATCGAACCTGGGGCCCTTTAGTCCGCAGGCCAAAGCTCTATCCACTGAGCCAAACCAGTTAGGGCGCAAATCTTAATTCTTAGCTAGAAGCTAAAAATATTTGAAAGATGAGGAAGTTTGGACTTAACCCACAAATAGCCATGGTCGGCAAACTGCGGCTCGCGAGCCACATGTGGCTCTTTGGCCCCTTGAGTGTGGCTCTTCCTAAGCCTTAGGAGTACCCTAATTAAGTTAATAACAATGTTTAAAAAATTTGGCTCTCAAAAGAAATTTCAATCGTTGTACTGCTGATATTTGGTTCTGTTGACTAATGAGTTTGCCGACCATTGACCTATAGAGATCTAAGTTTGAGGTGGCAAAAATCTGTTTGAACATTTGAACATCTATTCCATAACTGGGCTGAGTTCTGGAAATATGAATAAGGCAAAAAGCAAGGGGTCGAGAAGCAGTGGGCTGAATGTGTAGGCAGCAGACAGCTTGTGAACAAAGGCCTGACTGAGATATCATTGTGCTCTTAGAGTATTACATATAACATTACTCTTTTATAATTTACTAGTGGCCTGGTGCACAAAATTCGTGCACATTAAAAGGGAATTAGAGGAAATATTTTAATATTGCTATTTGCCCTTTCTCTATAATAAAAGTGTCAGAGATGAAAGAAAATTAGTAAAATGTATATGAAAATCTCTCTCATTAGAGTCTGGGGCACACCGTGGGACGTAGAGTCAAGTCCTTACCCACCAACCACACATGCTTTGAAAATGCAGGAGACCCAGACCCAGCCAGCCCCACCCCCATTGGGTGAGACCCAGACCCGGCCGGCCCCACCCTCATCTAGCCCCTTCGGCAAGGGGGGAGTAGCCTCAGGTCCTCCGGCCTGGCACCGGGTGAGGGGTGCAGTCTCAGGTCCCCCGTCAAGCCCTGCCGGGTGGGGGGCACAGCCTGAGGTTCCTGTCAAGCCCTGCCAGGTGAGGGGCGTGGCCTGAGGTCCCCTGGAAAGCCCCGACGGGCATAGGGTGTGGCCTGAGTTCCCCCATCCAGCCCTGCCGGTGTGTGTGTGGCCTGAGGTCCACTATCAAGCCCCACAGGGAAGGGGTCGTGGCCTGAGGTCCCTCGCCCAGGCCAGGCGCCATGCAGCCTTAGGTCCCTGCTGTTCGGTCATGACATTACAGTGTCCTGGCTAATTTGCATATTCTTCTATTATTATATAGGATAATATTTTGGTAACAAATAGAAATTCCAGGTGAACCTAGGGCCTACAATGAAATTAGTTTTGAATCTAGTATCCTTGAACACTGAAAATCCCATCCTATTTCTGATTTGAAATGTTACCTTTTCATATACCATATTGCAACATGGATATCCAGATTATATTGTTCCATCAACCCTGTTTGTACCTGACCAATATAGCCCATTTTAAAAATTATAATAGCCTGAAAAACATGTTTTGCTCAATGGTTGGGCAATCCCCTTTTTGTTATTACACATTTATTGTTAGGTCTATTTTTCAGTATAGTTTCTATTATGAATGGGATCCGTTTCCCTATTATATTTTTGGAAAGGCTACTGCTGATGTTTTAAAGAAAAGCCTAAATTCATTCAGTTGATCTTGTATCCCAACATCTTTGCAGAACTGTTCTAATAGCTTTTCAGTTAATTTGCTTGGATTATTTAAGTAGCAATTTAAATATTATAGCAACAGCTACAAATAAGTCTACTGTTTATGTATTTTTTTCCTTTTTCTTTTTTACCTTGGATATTTACTTGGAAAAAATGTTGGATGTCTGATATCACTCTCAAAATAAACTGTAGGTTAAAATACCAAATGTAAGAACACCACTCTGGAAAAATAGCTGCAAAAACAAATGGACCTGTGAAAAAATGCTCCATCTCCATGGTAAGCAGTAAAATGCAAATTTAAAGTACTCAAATTTGCTAAGTATGAGTGTTGGAGAGGGGGGAAGTGGGTGATACCAAATAAGCGACACACTGGTTTTGGAACACAGCAGCAGAATCATCCATCAGGAGGGTAGCAATTCTTCCTGGTATCTACTTTAGAGAAACCCAGCATCCTGTGTATAGGCTCTTTATTGTAATACTAGAGGCCTGGTGCATGAAATACATGCGTGGGTATGGTCCCTAGGCCTGGCCTGTGATCATCTTCCCCAGCTGCCCGCAACGGGCCCCACCCCCCGCCCGCCCCCCCCCCCCCCCCCCCCGGTTTCCAGCTCGCCCTTGGGCGATTGAAGCCTGCGGGAGGGACAGAGAGGTTGGCTGTTCCCGCTGCTTGCCAGGGGCCTTGGCCTGGCACCGCCTGTGTCTCCTGCCACCCAGTCCCAGGTCCCATTCGCCATAGGGTGATGGGAGCCTGCCAGCCAAGAAAAGGGACCGAAAGGTGGTCAGTGCGCCTCATAGTGACTGGTTGAGTGGTCATTCTGGTCATTCCACCCTTAGGGTCAATTCTGCATATTACCCTTTTATTATACAGGATGTATACAAAGGAAAAACTGAAAATACCCTTACAGGTTCACCAATTAAAGAATGAGCTAAATAAAAACAGTGTATCTATACTTATAAAATACTAGAGGCTCGGTGCACGAAAATTAGTGCACTGGGGCGGGTCCCCTCAGCCTGGCCTGCACCCTCTCGCAGTCCAGAACCCCTCAGGCCCACTTAGGCCCACTCCCTGGGGGATCAGGCCTAAGATGGCAGTCAGACAGAGCCCTTAGGAGATGTCTGACTGACAGCCCCACACCCCAGGGGAGCAAGCCTAAGTCGCAGTTGGACATCCTTACCACGACTGTGGAGGTGGGAGAGGTTCCCGCCACCACTGCTGCGCTTGCAGCCATCAGCCCAGCTTGTGGCTGAGTGGAGCTCCCCCTGTGGGAGTGCACTGACCACCAGGGGGCAGCTCCTGTGTTGAGCGTCTGCCCCCTGGTGGTCAGTGTTTGCCATAGCGACCGGTCATTCCATCGTTGGGGTCAATTTGCATATTACCCTTTAATTATATAGGATTATGGGATAATGAAAAGGAAAAAGTTTAATCTATTTGTAATGTCATGGAAATACCAAGATAAACTTTTAAAAAATCTTATCTATCAATTACAGTTTACATTCAATATTATTATTATTAAACCCTCATCCAAGGACTTGCTGTGAGAGAGAGGGAGAGAGAGAAACATTGATGCAGGAGAGAAACATCAATTGGTTTTGAGCCCTGACGGATTGAACTAGCAAGATTTCAGTGCACAGGACAAAGCTCAACCAACGGAGTGACTCTGGCCAGGCTCAACATTATTTTGTACTAGAGGCCCAGTGCATAAAATTCGTGCACAGGTGGGGTCCCTAGGCCTAGCTGGTGAGGAGGCGACGGTCGTCAGGCTGGGTGTGGAGGGAATGGACACACCCTGCCATTGTGTGGTATTCCCCTCCTCCTTCCCTTGCCGCCACCGCTGCGGGTGGGTGGAGTGCCGATTAGGGCTTGCTGGCCGGGGGGAGGGACTGCGGGTGGTTGGCTTGGGAGCACAATGACTACCAGGGGGCAGCTCCTACATTGATCGTCTGCCCCCTGGTGGTCAGTGCACATCATAGTGACCGGTTGTTCCAGTCGCTTAAACTTTTATATACATACTAGAGGCCTGGTGCACAAAAATTTGTGCACTCGGGGGGCCGGGGGGGTGTCCCCCTCAGCCCGGTCTGTGCCCTCTTGCCATCTGGGACCCCTCAGCAGACATCCCTCTTGCAGTCCAGGACCCCTTGCTCCTTACCGCTCAGCTCACTGCTCCTTAGCACTGCCACAGAGGCGGGAGAGGCTCCTGCCACTGCCACTACGCCCACCAGCCATGAGCCCAGCTTCTGGCTGAGCAGTGCTCCCCCTGTGGGAGCGCACTGACCACCAGGGGGCAGACACTCAATGCAGGAGCTGCCCCCTGGTGGTCAGTGCGCTCCTGCATTGAGTGTCTGCCCCCTGTTGGTCAGTGTGCATCATGGCGACCGGTCGTTCTGCTGTAACAGTTGCTTAGGCTTTTTTTTTTTTAAATATATTTTATTGATTTTTTACAGAGAGGAAGGGAGAGAGAGAGTTAGAAACATCAATGAGAGAGAAACATCGATCAGCTGCCTCCTGCACATCTCCTACTGGGGATATGCCCGCAATCCAGGTACATGCCCTTGACCGGAATCGAACCTGGGACCTTTCAGTCCGCAGGCCGACGCTCTATCCACTGAGCCAAACCGGTTTCGGCTAGGCTTTTTTTTATATAGATTAGTTTCAGATGTACAGCATAGTAGTTATACAATCATGTACTTTG